ATCGGCCGATTCATCGATTTTCAAAATAATCGTTAGTTGCAGCCCTAGTTGCAAGTATCCAGTTTGATCCCCACAGTCTCCAATCTGGGTCCCTGAGCAAGGCCCTTAACCCTACACTGCTCCCCGTGCGCTGCACAATGGCAGCAAACAACTCCCCAAGGGAATGGGTTAAATGCAGAGGTGAATTTCTCCAACGAGAGATTAATAAAGTTCAATTATTAACTTAAAAAGGTCTAAAGGGATCCTGTATATAGAAGACTAGAAACACACACTGAACAAAAGGTGACACTATCTTAGGTATGGACAATTTAATTATCCTACAGCAGAGCCTTCCTCCCTACAGCTATTAATATCTAGGAGTTAAAGAAAAGAAAACCCTATGAGAATTACAGCAACATTCATAATACCATTGGGATTAATAAAGCATTGTTGAGTTAAATCAATATATATCCAAATAAAACTTTACTCTATGATGGTTATGTGGTTTCTAAAAAATATTTATGGTATTTTGAAATACATACTCTATGATTATAGAATTTGTCCCTGACAGACTTTCAGGCTGCAGCTAATTCAGGCTAGATGGAAGAAGCGTCTACACTGAGGACACAGGAGTTATGGCGTACCACACAGTGACCAGTGGCAGAACGTGGGTCCATCCGATTGGTGCAAATCGGTAGGAACCCTTAGGAGTCGCCATATTAAGCAGGGATGTCCCGGTACCTTTTTGGAAATCAGTCCGATGTCAGGCAAAAAAAAAAAGCAAATAACCGAATATAATGGCCTGCATCTCAGATATAGGCATTCTGATTGTTCTCTTCTTAAGTAATATCAATTGATAAGGCATTTTCTAACATTCCACACTACAGTATGAGCAATAAAAATATGTATGAATCATGCTGATATCGTATCAGATCAATATAAAAAGATAGTGTATTGGTAATCTATCGGAAAAGAAAATTGTTTCAAGACATCCCTAATGATAAGTGCTGTCTGAATAGTGTTTGCAGTAAGGAAGGAGGAAGGAAGAGGAAGCAGGATGCTGCCTTTCGATACTTCATTCAGCATAATTCCCTCCTGATGTTCTTATTCACTCAATAGGAGCTATACGATGCCCCATAATCCTTTTGAATGACGGATCATATAGTTACAGCTTACCTCACTGAGTTAAATAAAGAAAACATCTCATTATGTGTGCTGTGTGTGACGCATAGTACTATACACATCTTTATATGTGATTCAGTTGTTAGCTACATTTGTGTAACTTTATTTTTGTGTAGTTTTTTGCATACCCACAACAGTGTCCTCACTGTTGACCCTACGAGAAGTGACCCGTCCTTTCATATGGGATGTCTAAACTGATTTATTATTAATGACTGAGCTGCTCCTTGCCATTGTACAGGTTTGGTTTGCAAAAGTAAATGTTAATAGCATAAAGTATAACAGGGCTGGGATCTGTTTAGTTTTCCTACATTTGAGAAATGCAAAATATACCAAGCTTTTTTTAAGAAACAGAAAAAGAAAAAAGCAAGACAGTAGCACTGGGGTGGCTGCAGTATAAGGTAGTGGTGAAAGAAAGAATTATTAATTACAAATTATAAGAAATATCTTATATCAAAGTTAAGATCTATATTTTAGCAGATGTTTTGGGCTTATAGTATAGCCCTACACTGCCTAGTTGTATACATTTCAGCGTCCCGGATAAAGAGCACCCCGTATCTGCTGTAGCTCACCCCTATCCATCACTCCTCCATATAGGTGTAAAGGCATCCAAGGCTAATGTGGCAAATAAAAACCAGACCATAGAGCCATAATCAAGCAGATAGTTACAAAAATAAAAAGTAGGATCATTTAGCTCCCTACCCTCCTGCTGTATTTGAGCAAACACAAAAAAGAATATATCGTGCAAAAAGAGAGAAACTGTAGAGGCCTCCTACTGCCTATTTACTTAAAACAGTTTTTTTATGGGTCATTTCTGTGGGTTTTCTTTTCTTTTTTTTATTACTCAAGTAAAGAATTATCCTTTATGTGTTACTCAGTAGTACAATCTATTTGCATAAAGATGATAGTGACAAGGATACCTTGCACACCCGCCAACAGAGAGGGACAACCGTGCCAGATATCCCAAGGTAGAGGGGGCCCCTGAATCAGCCCTCTACATCTTTTGCCACAAATGTTTGCAAGGAAATTTGAGCTTCATTCTTAAGTTTCATAAAATCTTTTCCTATTATTACTTTCTATCGAATTACCAGATAAAATAGCCCAGAAAGCATGAAAATAAAATACTATAGATGATGATTATCCGGGAGGTCTTAGTAGCTCCATTTAGTATCAGCCATTTTTTACGAAAGGGCTGAATTTTCTCCTAACTGACTGGTTTTGCTTGATAAAGGGAGTTAAATATTGAGCCGTTGTATTAATTTTTTGTATCGCAACTAAAAAAAAAAGCCTATATTCTCAAAAAT